AATGGCTCAGGTTCATCCCCAGACCAATTAATCTAGAATCTCTGTGGGGAGGGCCAGGCATTGGCATTTTCAGAACTGTGCCCACGATTCCACGGTGCGGCCAGGGAGGAGGCTTGCTGTCACCACAGGGACTTGTTCAACCTCAGGGTGCTTACGAATCGTCTGAAGGTCTCGGTAAAGTGCAGATTCTGACGCAGTCGTTCTGGGAAAGGGCCCAAGCTTCTGCATTTCTAACAAAGTCCCGTGGGAGGCAGTCACTGCTGGTGCATGGACCAGACTGTGCCGGGCAAGGGTGTGGGGCCCAGCCAGATCTGCGGGGTGAGGGGTGGAAGTGGGCTTCGCTCGTTTTCTACGTCCCGAGAAACTGTCCGTCACGGATCTCCCTTTAAAGTTGGGAAGGAACTCCTTTTTTGTGATCGCTTTTTAAAATGTTTATTTATTTTTGAGAGACAGACAGAGCACGAGCAGGGGAGGGGCAGAGAGAGAGGGAAACACAGAATCCGAAGCAGGCTCCAGGCTCCGAGCTGTCAGCACAGAGCCTGATACAGGGCTCGAACCCACAGACTGTGAGATCATGACCTGAGCTGAAGTCGGACGCTTAACCGACTGGGCCACCCAGGGGCCCCTAGTGGGGAAGAGACTTCTGAAAGACTTAGTTGAAAGGCTTTTACAGAAGGAAAGAGGGATTTTCTAGTGTGGGAATAGGGGCTCCTATACATAACAAATGATACAGGACCACCCTCTGTTATAAAGGATCTACTGGAATTAAAAGAAGAACCACCTGGCTGGCTTACTCAGTAGAGCATGGCAGTCTTGATCTTAGAGTTTTGAGTTCGAACCTCACACTGGGTGCAGAGATTACCTAAAAATAAAATCTTTTAAATAAAATAAATAAGGGGCACCTGGGTGGTTCAGTCGGTTAAGCGTCCGACTCCCGGTTTCGGCTCAGGTCACGATCTCACAGTGTCACGGGTTTGAGACCCGCATCAGGATCCGCAATGGCGGTACCAAGCCTACTTGGGATTCTCTGTCTCCCTCTCTCTCTGCCCCTCCCCCACTCACTGTCTCTCTCAAAATAAATAAACTTAAAAGAATAAAAATAATAAAATAAGAACTTAAACAAATGAAGTATCTAATCAAGGACCCAGCGCATGGTAGGTGCTCAATAAATGGTACTTTTGCTACTCATGCTCTCGTTGTATTATTATTAATGTGGGAGTTACTCCATTTCCTAACCCAACCAACCATGTTCTCTTGGCATCCAAAACCCTGACTGAGCCCTACTAAGTCCTACAAGACTTAGTACCTGAGAGGATGAGCCCCAGATAGGCTCCCAGCACAGGAAGGCTTGGGTCCAGGGGCCTTCATCAGACAGCCCCACGGACCCCGCCCGGTCTAAGAACACCAACGTCTTTGTTACTCACTTGTTTTTTTGTTTTGTTTTGTTTTGTTTTGTTTTGTTTACTTATTTGCCACGAGCGATATACTTCCTCAGCCCAGTCATGGCTAATATTGCATGCGCGCTGCCTGTCGGGACCAGTTTAAAGTATTCTATTTGGGGGGCGCCTGGGTGGCTTAGTCGGTTAAGCGTCCGACTTTCACTTAGGTCATGATCTCGCAGTTCGTGGGTTCGAGCTCCGTGTCGGGCTCTGTGCTGACTGCCAGCTCAAAGCCTGGAGCCTGTTTCAGTCTGTGACTCCCTCTCTCTCTGACCCTCCTCTGCTCACGCTGTCTCTCTCTCTCTCTCTCCTAGAAATAAATAAAACATTAAAATAAATAAATAAATAAATAAAGTATTCTATTTGGTTTAACTCATTATATCCTAAAAACAACTCCAGGCAGCAGGTGCTATTAGCCTCAAGGGCAGACGAGGAAACTCGGAAAGGCAAAGCAACTTGCCAAGGTCACACATGTAGTAGGTCACAGGGCCAGATGACAAACAGGAGAATGTATTTCAGACCTCATGCTTTCCCAGCGCTTCTCAAACGTTACTTGCTAGGTGGTTTTGTTATAATGCAGGCTCTCCTGGGGGCACCTGGTTGGCTCAGTGGGTTGAGCATCCGACTTCGGCTCAAGTAGTGATCTCACTGCTCGTGGGTTCGAGCCCTGCATCAGGCTCTGTGCTGAGAGCTCAGAGCCTGGAGCCTGCTTTGGATTCTGTGTCTCCCTCTCTCTCTGCCCCTCCCCTGCTCATGCTCTGTCTCTCTCTCAAAAATAAATAAAACATTTAAAAAATAAAAAATAATAAAAAATGCAGGTTCTCCAGTAGGTGAGTGGGAGCCTGAGATACTGCATTTCCAGCAACCGCCCCGCCCCCCCACCCCCACCACCGGGGATGCTGATGCTACTGGTCCACGGACCTCACTTTGAGTAGCAAAACTCCTCACATGCTCTGATGCCTCCTGGTATTTCCACCACGATACCCCTCCAATTGGTGGTTTGTTGATTCGACGGGTGGCAAAAATCACAGTGAATCTCCACTTTGAACACTTGGGTAAAGTTCTGTTTAAACTCCTACTCAAACAGCAAATATTCTGTGGCAAAGGAGATTATCTGTCGTTTGGAAAAGCCGTTGTGTCCATTATGAGCTATAGGCATCGAGGGTTATGAAATTGCTTTCAAATTTAAGTGCTACCTCTACCAAGAGCGCTCTCTGGACCAGGGAAACAATTCCCATCTCTCGAGGCTCAGTGAAGAGCTCCAATTTGAAAAATACAGGGTGAGATATCTCCAAACACAGAAGAGCATCACCTAACTATAAACCTTCCTTCTCAGATTAGCGGGAGAGGGATGTACGCATAAACCAGAAGAAATGACAAATTTTCCTGCCCAGTGAAATGCGTTAAGAGCAAATCAGGACCATCCACTTAATCAGTCTGGACTCAGTGGCTGGTGAGTGAGACAGAGAAAATCAGAGCAGAGTGGGGGGAGGGTAAACAGGCAAGGGTGTCCCGGATACAGCGTGACCTGAAGTTCCAGGATGGCAAACGAGATCCTGGAGACACCTGCCTTCAAATCATGAGTCTTCAGGGAAAACAAAAATACCCTCCTCAAAGCTAGTCATAATACCAAGGTTAGATTGAACAGCGATCAGTGCAGACAAGGCTCGGTTAGAAAAGCACATTTATGCAATTTCCACCACCCAGTGATTCTCGAACTTTGTTCCACAATCGAATCACCTGAGAAGATCCCCCACCCCCACCCCAGCTCACACTCAGGCCACACTCCCACATCAATGAAATCACAGTCTCTGGGGGTGGGGCCCAGGTATCCCTCATTGTTAAAGCTCCTCGGATAATTCCTTGGGCTGCCAAGTTTGAGAGCCAGTATCTTCACTTATAAAATGACGAATCCATCCGGACCAATGACCAATGGTCTCTTCACCCGATTTGCATGTTAGAATCAGCTTGGGAAGGATTTTGAAAGTAATGATGCCAGCAGCGTCCCTTAGGAATTGAGGTTAATTCATAAGACCCAGGCATCAGCATTTTTAAGAGCTCCTAGGTGATCTTCATATCCAACTACAACTACTGGTCCAGATGTTTCTCCCAAGATTCCTTCTACTGCCTATATTTTAAGCATCTATGATAATAAGGCTAAAAATGCTTCTTAGACTTTTTGCAAAAGTAGAGTTCTCATCTTTACTTTTAAGTCAGGGATTTCTAACTTTGCAAGAGTCCAAATCGTATTCAAAATGCCAGATGAATACATATGCTTGTGTGCGAATATATACAATGAATATTTTCGAAGGAGAATGTCCTTGACTTTCATCAGATTCTCAAAGACTGAACGGTATTACCTTAAAGGCAAGTATGTGATTTCTGATTTAACACACGTAAGCAAGTTCAAGAATGAACAGAAAAGAAACTGACCTCAGCAGCACATTCTCAATTTGCAACACAGCTACTGCCCCATAGCGACTGCATGTCATTATTGCAGGTGAAGTTCAGACCAAACGTCCCATCCCCTGAGAAGCTATAGGGGCTGGATGTCCAGATTTCTGATCCGAGTATCAAAGTGGAGGTTGTTTGCAGATTGGGGTCTGTGCTAGGCTGTCTGGTCATGATCAGGGTGAGAGACGACTTGGCCAGCTATACGTGTCAAGAGACTATCCGCCCAGATGTTTTGGGTTCGTGTCTCCAACTGGATTAAGAATTCTGGGTTTTCTGGTCCTGACTGCTGTTACCTATATGCCTTGGTTTGGATCCCAGGTTCCTTTCTCCCCATGTGTTCTTGGGAAAATTACTGAACCTTTTTATTCTTCAGAGGAAATGGGGACAATATAAAGACTTTTAAGACTGCTGTGAAGAATGAGAAAATACACGTAAAAAGCTCAGCCTATCACTTGACCCAGAACAAGATCCAAATAAACGTAGAGTTTTATTACTGTATCGGTGGTATTTTATTATTCTTAACATCTTGGTGAAGGAGCCCACGTCACTAGATTTCACTGAGCTTCCTTTGTGGATCCATACGCCAAGGAAAATACACCCCGCTCAGTTTCTTTCCTGGAGATAGAGCGATGACCACCAGGAGACGGCAACTCATCACATATCCGGGCGACCAACCGAGCACAGGAAAATACCACCCTAAAATACAGACGTAATCCCTACCCCCTGAGACGCCAGTAGTTGAAACCTCTACAAACAACTGGAGCAACTTCTTCGTCACGTACCTGGCATCCTGGTCAACATCAACCTTCTCGCCACACGGGCAAGGGGGTGGCCACACTCCACCAAAGCCCACCCCAAACTGCCTTTTGGGCAAAAGGACACGCCAGCCACTCACTCAATCGCCGATGCCCTGGACCATCCTCTCTCCTCCAGCCCCGGCGCGTGGGTCCCTCCCCAGGAGACAGTCCCAGGGCTTGTCCGCAAGCCGCCTGCCCCGTAGAGGCTCCCACGGCGCGGCGCACCACCACCGGCCCTGGTGTGGCCGAACAACACCGACCCCTCTCACCATGCCCCAGCAAGGGCACAAGGTGATCCGCGCTCGCTTACCTGGAGTCTGCTTGGCCGTCCGCACGGGGGTGTAGTGGTTTTTGGAGGACGATCTGACCGGTGTGTTCTCTTTGGGAGAGGTATTGATAGCTGAGATAGTTTCTCTTTCACAGTGTGCTATGGGGATTGGTCCCTGCTGTCTTAAGATGTCGGCCAGGGCCCTAAACAAGAAGGAGATCACAGGGTGAGACTCACGGAGCAGGTGCACACGACCGCGGGGGAAATGGACTTGCTTTCACGGGCCCTTGGAGACACAGAGCTACGGGAGGAGACAGGGACACAGCGTTCTGTCCCCAGCAGTCAGCGCAGTGTCTGCGGCTGCTCCCACGGGGAGGGGGAGGCTGCCATGACCGGGAGTACTGGCACTAGAAGCCAGCTACTGTGGCTTCCGTCTTGATTTCACATGGGTCTCCAAACACCCCCATATACCAGGCGGGTCTCAGCACAGCTGGCCAGCGCAATGCCACTGCAGGAAACGGACGGCCTCCGTGGCCTCATCTGCAGCAGCAGATACACGTAACAGGGGCACGATCGCCCCTCTGAAAAGAGGCTCACCGGGCAGCACGGACTTTATACTGGTGACCCAGCGCGTAGCTCCTGCCATCCAAGAAAGGTGTGAAGACGGGACGTGCAGCTTACAAGGTCAGGGTCAGACCCCGCGGGCCGTGCAGACCAAGAGCACAACGGGAGCTCAGAGGAGGTACCGATTACAAACACAGGAAGATAGACAAACAGAGGAGGACACAGGGACGCACGGCTCCCCTTCTGCAAGAGACCCGGCCACCCCAAGGTGGCGGCTTCCATCCACTCAACACGCCGCTTCGATGACCAAACGCGTGTTTACAGAGGACCCAGCGTGCGCCAGTTGCCGCGGACACACAGGTAAATAGGGCACGGTCCCTGTCGCCGAAGGGCTCACGATTTAGGGGAAATCGCTCCCCCACCTGGTTTCAAACAGGACTCGCTATGTGGGTGTCCTAGGTGACGACGTTGACGGAAAAAGAGAAAGGCAGGGATGGATCATCTGTGGACGCAAGGGTGAGTGTGGATTCGCCACGAGAGACCACCATCTAGGGAATGCCATTTTAGTCCCCAGTTCTGAGCGCATCCCTGTTCGTGCAAGCAAAGCAAAGGCTTTTGCGTCTACCCTGGGGTGTCCCTGGGGCCTCCAGGTCCCCCCGCCCACCGCCCAGCCCAGCCCACCCCAGGGCTTCATTCACACCGAGCCTCCAGCGCCGCACTCGGTCCCCTTGCCAAGTGACACCCACGTCAGTCTAAAAGCGTGTCTCTGGGTGACCTGTTGCCTCCCATTATGCTGTCTCTGACACGCGGAACCTTCCGAGGAAAAGAGCATCAACCTGGCAATCTTCTCATTACTGGCATTTATATAGCAATTTCAGATGTTCCAAACGCTTCTCCCTGGCGGCCACTCTCCTCTCTCAGGCTGTAAAGGGGGGCGCAGACACACATCAGCGCCCTCGTTCACTTGGCTGGACCCAGTTCAGGCAGCCCCGGGGTCTGGGGCAGGGACCAGGGATTCAGGGTGTGGGGATGAGAAGCACGCACCGCCCCGAAAGGTCAAGAGATTTGCGCTCTAATCCCAGATGAGCTGTTAAGACTTGGGGCAGGTCCGCTAACCTCTAAAATCAACATTTAATCTTTTCTCCCCCGTCTGCAAAACATAAGGGTTTAACCGAACATGACCCTTCTCATTAGATCCTTTCTCATTCCAAAATGTTATATTTTCGGTATTTTGATAACCACATGGAGGTTCTCTTGATTCCTTCATTGCTCTGGTTATCAAAGACCTGTTCCTACCAGGTTCCCATGGTAAGGAAATACTGAGCTAGGGGCGCCCGGGTGACTCAGTCAGTTGAGCATCCGACTCTGGCTCAGGTCATGATCTCAGGGTTCCTGAGTTCGAACCCCACGTTGGGCTCTGCGCTGTTAGCACACAGCCTGCTCTGGATCCTCTGTCTCCTCTCTTTGCCCTCCCTGGCTTGCTCTCTCTCCCCCTCTCTCTCTCTCTGTCAAATAAGTAAATAAATAAAACATTAAAGAAAAAAATTTGTAAAGATGAATTTTATGGGAGGTGAGTTACATATCCATAAAGCTGCTATCCCCCCCACCCCCAAAGTATATTATTTCTTTCTGTTTCTTGTCTCTCAAGTGTTTAAAGACTCTTAACTCTCCGGTCCTGGGAAGGAGAAGGGAGACTTGTGCTTAAGTCCACCGCTTTCGGGAGGCAAAGACCGAGTCTACATCCGTGTTTCTCCGCCATGATTCTGTCCCCTGGCAGGAGGTTGGGGGAGAGGGCATCTGGCAATGTCCCAAGATGGCTTCAGCAATCACGGCTGGGGAGGAAGCGCTTCTGGCTTCTGGTGAGCAGGGACCAAGGTGCTGCTGAAATTCTGCCCTAGACGGGACAGTCCCCCACGACAAATAACTACCCGGCCCAAGATGTCCACAGCAGTGAGGCCGAGAAATCCTGACCTACATCCATGCAACACCAGGAGGAAGCGAGTCTTGGATTAAGGCTCAGTGCTGTCTGGCTCCACACGGGTGGGTCTACCAAACAGCCCGTACCAGGATCAGACACCAGGCTGGGCTCGGGGAAAGGAATGTCCCCAAGGAGCGGGCCTGTCCCTTGGGGTCATCACTGTGCCCTGAGGCCTTGGCACAGCGCCCAGCCACGCTCCATACACGGAGAACGGACTGAAGCTGGGCGCCGTTCCCACCTTTGCAGGGCATCTGGCCCCTCACCCCGGTCCACACGGACAGTGTCAGGGGCAGCTGATTGAACCCCAGGCTCATCTGCAAAGAAAGATGAGGCAGAGACGAGACTTTCGATCAGAGCTCCCCTCTCACGGGACGGGAGTCTCCTGAGAAGTGTTGTGAGATGCAGGCTGTGGGGACAGGGGGGTGAGGGGAAGGGAAGACACCTTTGTGAAGACCACCGGGCTTGGCGGAGACCAGCGTGCTTGGGTCTGGCTTGTGGCTGGAGAATGAGTTTTAACTGGGGCACGGCCGGGCTGTCTCCTCCTGAGGGTAAGGACGTGTCTTGTATCCTTTCCAGATGCCCGCTGGGCGGGGCTGGGACACGCTAGGGGAGGTGTCCCTGAAGAGGCGGGCTCTCAGGGGGCGGCCTCTACCCTGCACGGTTGCAAGGAACAGCATGGTAGCCAGGGACAGGCTCCCGGTCCCCCATTCTGTGACTCCCCTGACCACCGACCGGACAAATTCTCCAAGTGCTCATCCTTCCCCAGTGCCCTCCGGCAAGGGAACAGGTGCCCTAATTCCCAGGAGGTGTCCTGTGGCGCGGTACCCTGTGGCAGCGCCCCTGCCCCACTCACCTCTCCCCTCCCTCCGCCCCTTAGCTCCTGACCTCCCTCCTCCCTCCTGTTCCTCTCCCTCTTCCATCCCCTCCTCCCCAGGGTGCTTGATAAATATTATTCTAATTCTGAGATGTGCGATGCCAGTCTCACCTAATTAATCTGGAGGCGCCCCAGGAAATGGGTTAGGGCCTGAGCTATTTTCCAACCGCGGGAAAGAAAATCGGTCACTGAGGGACAGGGAGGCGGGGTCTGCGACTGAGAGAGGGGGGGAAGGGAGGAGAGGACACAGGACAGTGAGTGGGGCCATCGGAGAGGAGGGGAGAGGTAGAGGGGAGGGGGAGGCAGGGATGCGAGAGACAGGGACACAGAGGAGGGGCAGAAGAGGGAGGGGACAAAGACAGAGGGAGGAAAAGGGGCAGAGAAGCGAAGAGAAATTCAGAGAAAGCGCAGGGCTCAGAAGGTGAGGGAGGAGGCGAGGAGGGTCAGAGGGCGCACTCAGAGTGGGGAGGGGCAGACAGAGGGGCAAGCGAGGGCACAGGCGGCTTCCCAGCCAACAGCCAACCCCACCCGCCCTCCCTGGTCCTCCGCCAGGGTCTCATTTAAGGACCCGAAGAATCGTGGGGCACCTGGCTGGCTCAGTTGTGGGAGTACGCAAAGCCTGATCTCAGGGTCATGAGTTCGAGCCCCACGTCAGGCGTGGAGTTGACTGAATTAAAATCATCATCACCATCATCATCATCATCATTTTTAAATAACATGAAGAATTGTCCTGTTCCTCTCAATCTCCGCCCACCCCCCACTTCTGCCACACTGTCCAGCCCGTATCTAACAAAAGCATGCTTTTTGCCCGAATGTCCTGAATCACCGCCTGGTTCACCCTTCCCTTTGGCACATGGGTCCCCTGGCTTTTGTGCATGCGTGGTGAGCAGGGGTGGGCAGTGAATTAAGTGGGCAGCAAATCTGAGCAGGGAAAACAGTCATCCTGGCCATTCAGACCTTTGTAGGTACCTTGCCACTCCGATTTCCGACAAGAAACCGAGGCTCTGAGTGGTTCGAGGACTTGCACAGGACGGAGCAGAAATTTAAATCCTGGGCTCCTGACTTGCACGCACCTCCTGTCCCTGTCACCTCACACGAGTCCTTCTGGGCTCCCCAGCCGGGTCTGGCAATTGAGCAAATGCCAGCGAACGTTCGGGCATGGAGAAACAGTCAGTCAGTGAGGGATTCAGGTCAAGACCAAAGATTTATTAAAACCCTGGTTAATGTCGTCAGTGACCCCCAGGAAATGGAAGTGTGTCTGAATGTCCCTACGTGCTGAGTGATCTGTACACAAGGGACCAAGCCCAACCAACACCTTTTGATATGCTACCACCTGCATTCAAGACATGAAATCCTTCTGAAAATGGCTAGTGATTCCCTTTAACAAGAGAAAGATAAGACCTCCTTCATGACTTTGCTTCATCATCTTGCCTGCTTAGGAAACTACACAGGAAAGCGAAGACTTGGGAAACTGACCGCTATCATTTACTGAACAATTACTATGTGCCAGATACCGATGCCAAATTCTGACATCGTATGCATGGATATTCTATCCAATGCTAAAGTCTTACATGCGTTATATCCTGTAATCCTCAAAATGACACTATTTGGTAGATGCTATCAGTAGCCACAATTAGTTTGACGAGAATACTAAGATTCTGCAAGGTCAGTTCTATTGCCCAAGGACACAAAACCAATAAGCAACAAATCCAGATTTCAAAGACAGGCAGGTTAAGCAACAGAGGCGTACGGCCACCAAATTATCCATTCATCCATTCGTTCATCCG